TAACCTAATTTGAGTGACAGTGGGTTTCTGTGACACAGGGATGTTGAAAGAAAAGTAGTTTAGCAACTTTGTTCCAGTCAAGATGCTCCATGACTTCTGTAACTGGCTGTGAGGTGTCCTCATGCTTAGATATTTGGGGGCAGATGATTCCCTTGGAGTACAGTGTGGGCACACATTCCAGATACCTTGGATGTTAGTGGGTCTGGCTGCAGAGCATGAAGTGGCAGCCAGGCTAGCAAGGGAGGGAGCAGAGATGTTTTGGAAGGAAGAATTGCACATGACAAAATGTTTAATGGGGAGGTCCATAAATGGGAACAAAGGCTGGAATACAGCATGTGGAAACAGAGAAACTGGAGGTATATTTCTTGTGTGAGTTAGAAGTAAGAAAATCAGAAAAGGTGAGAAGGAAAACTCACAAAGTGATTAGGAACAGGATAAGGACAGCTAGAAGGAAAGGGCCTGGAGGAGTCTTCAGTGATTACAGAGAAAGATCTGCTTTCAGACTGAATTTCTCAGACTGATGTACAGTATTTAAAAGTATGTCATACTAGTTATGAGTCATGTTTTTTGAGCAAACTGTGCTGAGCAAACCTGGTAGGGGTTTCAGTGCAGAGAGAGGAGTGGAGTTAAGTAAAGAGAGGCTGCTCTTTTAGGGCTTCACTAGCTGTCTTTTTTCTAATTTTTTGCTTTGTGAGTGTTTTGATTTTCAAGGAGATGTAGTTTGGGGGGTTTGAAGGAAAACAAAGTTTTGGAAAAAGAATTGAAAGACTAAAATTAAGAGACCAGGCAAAACCCAAGTCAATTGTTTATTTTCAGCTGATACTATTACTACAGTCTTCTTAAGAAATTCTGCTGATTTATGGTTTCTGTAATGATAACAAACTTGACACTGATAGAAAATAATTGTAAATATTATTTTCCTCTGTAGGTATACTGATGTTTCAGACTCTTGCCATTTTATCATCTTAGTATTGCATAATGCAGCCAATTCATGTTTTCCAGAGTTTCCCAATTAGCTTAAGTGTTCAGAAGTTTCCATGACCTTTAGGTTCCTTTGTACTCTATGTTGTTTTTCAGAGTATGATAGACTTTGTGGTTTACTTCCAGTGTAGCCTTTTTTTTTTTATGGAAAAGATGTCACAATGCAAAAAGACCATGGTTTTGAGTTGTGTTTTTGTGCATTTAATACAAAGCATGATTTGATATATCCCTTTTTTTTTTTTTCTAAAAATGCCTTGTCATAGAGGAAACTGTTTAAGTAGCTCAAAAAAAAAGTTGTCAGCAAAATTTCATAATTTAAAAAGTATCATTGGGCTGAATATATGGGAAAAATAACTTGAAGAAGATCCCCTTAGAGAAGACTGTTGCAGGATACATGCACCTGTATCATATTCACTGCCATAAATGACGTTATGGTTCTTGCTTCAGTTTTGCTTGTCAGTCTCTGTGACTTGCTGGAAAACCTGTGAAGTTTAGATTGTCCTGTTCACTCAGATCAGTGTGAGCTCCCAAACACAGGCCTCTGTTCTTCACTGAAATGGTGGAGCTTTGTCAAAACCCTTACTTACAGAGTTGTACAAGGTGGCAGGTAGAGACCTTCCAAGGAAGGGTGCGCGGTTGCCTTAGTGCGTGCAGCATCACATTCATGTGGTGCTTCCACGCACACCTAAACACTTCCTCTGTCTGCCTGCACTACAGACAGGGAATCCTCAGGGCTGTCTGCCCCTGCTCCTCTAGGCATGTATTGAGAAGCCTGAGGTTATTTGTCAGAGCTCTTTGACTCTTTATTTGGGGACAGCACTGAGCAGTAGCACCTACTCTTTTCAGAACAGTTATATATAGTTGTATATAGGTATATACACACACACACACACACACACATACACATATATACATAAATACATACATTCACCTATATTTATATATGTATAGGTAGCCAATCACTCCAGTCTCTGTGCCCTGAATAAATAATTGTTACCGTGGTGTTGCTTAATACTTCGTAATTACGAAGTCAGAAGATGTTGTTTATACATGCCAAGCCCAGTCTGCTGTTTTGGTCCATGTTTGTTTCCACACATCCATCAAGGCCTTGCAAAGCAAAATGTGACCGCTGACAAGTTATTCCCACAATGTTGCAAATGCTCAGATCTTCCTGCAACCTGATACAAAAGGGCCCCGTTGGCAATTTTTTTTCTTTTTAACTGAATTTTTCTTGAGAAAATGCAGTAGGCTGTGGTTAGTTTGCACCAGTGCATGCAATTATGTAATTATGAATAGGGCAGTAAAATACTAAGAAAATTCAGCTGTCATTTTGAAGAGTTGATATGGACTCTTACTTAATAAATTAATATAACTCATAAGTATGTGTCTATATGTTTATATATATGCATAATCAAAATTTACACATATGTGTATTCATATGAGAGATTGTGAGAATTAATTAGGAAAAAAAATTAAAAATAAATGCAGAAATAGAACAACTAAATATGATACAACAATACTGTTGCTGTAAGAGGAGGACAAACCTCATTTATAGTTTTATTTTCCTTAAATGATTTTTAGCTATGAACATGAATGAGACTCCTTTTCCCAAAACTGCTCAAGAGATTTTATGCTGTGAGAAGCCTTTGCATTTCATCTTCTGTTTTGCAAAGGCTGAAACCTGTTAAGGAATGAATTTACATGTATTTGGAAGACTTTTTTATATGTGTAAAATATATAAAGTGTTGCTGTTGTCCCTCAGTCAAGGAGTCAATATATTAATAGCCTGGAAACCAAACTGCTATTTGAAGTGAGTCCTGTTGGTTTAGTATGTAAGGACTTTCTAAACTTCAATGTGTTACTTTTTCCAAGGCTGTTTTGAAGAGAGGGGTTTGATTTTGGCTTTAGAGGTGAAGAATTGCCAGTGTTGTCTCTTCCTGCACACCTGGAAATCACGGTACAAAGAGGAACTGAAACCAAGCCCAGAGCTGGTATTTTCTGTCTCATGGCATCTCCCCTCTGAATAAAGATATCACTTGAAAATGATTGTGCTTTGCACTCTCCGATGAGGGCTACTTCAACTGTTGTCTGTTAAATGAAATGTCTCACTTAAATGTTGGCCTCTTGCTATTTTGTGTCTGTGTGTGTGTGTCCCACCCCTTATTCTCAGGTGGGTGTGTTATGGGTGTGGGGCTGAATTTATAAACATTTTATGCTGCTGGGAAGAATAAGAAATACAAGGTCTTGGCAGTGTAACTGGAAAACTGTTTTTAAAATGTGTTTGTTTTCATACTTGGTACATCTGACTAGGCCAAAAGATCACTCATTTTCTGACATTGAAACTCTGATTCTTTGCTTCTCTGTACATGATTCCTAATCTATTTTTTTCTTTTAACCTCTGATTATCTAATAATAAAATAGTCTGTTCATTAGTCTAAAAATGTAGTTTTCATGCAGCCTGGGTTGGAGGAGAGATTCTTTGTCTTGTCCCATTTGTATTTTGGCTTCTATGTAGGCTAAAGAACAGAGTGCTTTTTCCCAACCTGACAGGGTCAGATATTTGTGTTGTTTAAAGTAGCTAAAGGTCTGAGTGTTGCTTTGTTGCCTTTCCCTGTTGTGAAAGGAAGTTGTGTTTTAGCCAAGTTAATAGTGTAATCTTAGCCAATAATGATTAGAACCCTGAATGTTTTCTCTTATTTAGCATAAGTTACGTTTTATGCATTACTTTAAATCAAATTACTGCTTCGTAGGTTAAGTGGCTGATAGCTAATTGTAAACAACTTTTTCCTTGAAAAAAATGTAAATGAGACAGAAAGCTTTTTCAATTTTAGTATTTCGTCATAACTGTGTATGCGTGGAGGAAAAGGATATTCATGTCTGTATGGATACATTCACGAAGAGTGCATATATAAATATGCCTAAGTCTTGGCAGGCTTTCTCCTGCTTTAGCAGGATGTCAATTTGAGTAAGGCATCCTAAAAATTATGTTTTACCTGTATTCATTGCTCACTTGCTTATGTTATTTAATGATGCATCAGTCAATACTTCAGTATTGTAGTACTGATTCATTGTAGTGAATAGCAGCAAGTGACATGAATTTTCTTATCCAAACTGATACAAGCTATTCTGATGAATGCTAAAGCACTAAACTATTTGTGATAGATTATCTTTATTCTTTTGTTCAAAAAAAGAAGCTTTAACTTCACAAGGACAATGGCTATGCTAGTAATTCTGTACTATTGGCCATGTTTTACAGGATTAGTGTTTATATATGTGCTTCTGCAGATAATCCTGGGATTCAGTTCTGTTAATGAATTTAGATATCAATAGGCTCTGAACATACAGAAAGGTTTGGATCCTGAAAAAAATTGTATCCTTATCTAAATGGAGGCAGATATTGGTTGCATGAATAGCTTTTGTCTGAAAGTTTCTGAGCTATAATTACACCATAACTAAGATATAATCAAAACTAGAAATATGCATGTTTCTTTCCAAACCAGCTATGTTGACTTTTCTCTTTAGTAGAGGTTCACATTTTATAAATTGTGATTCGTTTCTTTTGTAGTATTAATTCACAGTGGAGCTGAAGCAGGGATTTTATTTTCTTAGAGAAACCTGCTTTTGTTGACCACTTAATTTTGCCTTTGTCTCAGCAAGATCTTTATGGGAGTGTGCATTTCTGGGAGTTGTGACATTCGTTTTAGCTTTGTTTTCCATCATGTGCAACTTAATGGTGTCGCAGCTGGTAAATGAGATTAACTATTAATTCTCCATTGGCAAAAAACTTAAAAAGAAATTACAATGGAAGTGCTCATGTACCTCTTTTTTTCCTAAAACACAAAACAATGAAAAACCCAGAAACAAGCCCTTCCAAGAATGTAATTGAATACAAAGTAATCTTGCAAATACCAACTTATTATTAATGGCTCAGTTTGGTATTTTTTTTTTAATATGATATAAGTTAGAAGCTGACAGATTAAATAATTCGTAACACAGGTTTGTTTCTTTTTGTTTTGTAGATAACTCTGCTGAAGCAGATTTATGGTTGCTGAACAGTTGTACAGTAAAAAATCCTGCTGAGGACCACTTCAGAAACTCCATCAAGTAAGTAGTTTCCTTACAAAGATACTTAACTATCAAATAATATTGCATGTCTTAAAGCTTTGTGTTTTCAATCTAGAAGTAATTTTGGGTTTTAGAGCAAGAAATGTGCTGAGTTTGAGTGTTACAATGGTGAATTCTCTAGGATGGATTTGCAAGGTAGAGTGGATTTTTTTTAAATAGCAATAACTTGCAAGTGATTACCACTACTCTTATTTAGGAGAACTTCCAACCCATTTAGTTAGGGGCTTTTATATCGCTTTTCAAGACAATGTTGTAATAGTCTTCTGAAGAGTTGACTGTGCTTTTGATTTATTTTTTTTTTTAATATGTGAATTGTTAGGTTGTTTCATTTTTCATCTTCTCAAATATGGCCTAACTGGGACCTCCTTTTCAGTGGTGTGCAGCAATGGCCATAAATTAAATGACAAGTACCTTAACATGGGAAAGAACTTCTTTATGTTGAGGGTGTCAGAGCACTGAAGAGGCTGCCCAGGGGTTGGTGGAGTCTCCCTCTCTGGAGACTGCTCTGGGTGACTTTCCCATGGCAGGGGGTTTGAACAAGATGATGTCCAGAAGTCCCTTCCAGCCCTACCGGTTTTGTGATTCTTTTAAAAGGGTATCTGGTGTATACTTAAAACCAGCTATTTCACTATACATTTTTCTGAAAGATTAGTTGATTAGCTTACAGTACAAGTCTTGTGAAGAATGTGTTTTATTATTCAGTACCATTCCATTGATGTCAAACAAAATGACATGGTAGTGACTTTTGCCTCCAATTTCTGCAGAAGTGTAGTTGTGATGAGAGTAACTGGAAAACCTGTACACATACAGCTATCACTGCCCAGTGTAAAGAAACAATGTGGTATGTGTCTTGTAGATTTTATCTTTAGTAAACAAGTTTGTGCAGCCATTTGTTTAGTGTGGTTCGCTGGGGATGGACTGGCTGTTGAAGTCCATTTTGGTTAGAAACACATGGCTCTCTGGAAGGGAAGGAGGGGAGAGAGAAGCTGGATATAAGCTACCTGCTCGCAGTGCTGGGGTTACTAACAGACTCTCAGGGCTGTAACCTGGAACAGAAACCACTTGCCTGCTGTGGCTGGCACAGCAGAAATTTCCTCCACCCCTGAGAGTGCTTTACTTCCTGGCTGCTGGTGTTGTACTTGGTGACCAGAATGGCTTATGCCTTTTCTTCTCTGTTGCCAGAAACAAAGAAAAAAAGCAAACTATTCCCAGAATACTTCCAACAGTTAGTGTGTGTTGGCCAACAGAACTGATGACAAGATAGTTTCCAGTTCAGTTGTGGCCATCCTTCTATTTTACTCATCCTGTGCCAGAAATGATGTGGTATGGTGTGTGTCCTAGCCAGGAGAATAGAGTTGGTTAAGAAAAAGGGCCTAACTGAAAGCAAATGACCAAAAATATTTCTTTGAAGAACATGTTTCTGTTGCTGCTCTGTTCATGAACCTGATGTTACTTGTAGCCTTTCTGTTATTTTATTCTTTATTTATTCTTTTTCATCCTTAAATTTCCCTGTACTTGTTCTTTTCCTGTAGCATACATCATTCATTCTCTAATTTTAGATCCTGGCAGTCCCCAGCCCTGGAGAATGACAACTTCTGTAGTTTTTTCTGATTTTTCATAAGGCGCACTGTCACAGGGGAAACACATTGATTCTGTAAAGAACACAACTTCTCCCAAATAGTTCTTAATTTGTTACAGCAAAAACCCAATGCATGAAATTTGGGTGATACAAAATGAACTGCTGTTATATCCTGTCACAGCAGCCTGTTGGTAACTATGGAGATCTTTGTTTTTCTCAATTGAGTAACAAAATAAATATGTAGTGTGTGTGTGTTGTCAAAGCGAACATGCTTGGAGTAGAAAAATTAATACTCAGCCTTGTAAAATTCTTCTTTAAAAAAAAAAAAAAAATCAGTCTGAAAGTGTTACATAGTAACAGATGTATGTTACATGTGAACATCATGTTCTGTGAGAAAATTATTTATTCTTTGCCTACTGCAACAGTTCCTTCATTGCTTGCATATACGACTCTAAAATGTACTGAATCAAACCAGTGGTAGTGTGTTCACACTGGTGGTTAAAGAATGACTGTGAAAAGCTGATCCTTCACTAATACCATGGGCCAGATGTGTATCTGCCAGAACCCAACAATTCCTGTAGGTTCAACCTTTTTTGGTCTGATTTTCTTCTAAAAAAGGAACAGAGCCACTCCCAGACACTCTGAACCTTTGCAGATGTGTTTACAGGTGATACAAGATGAGTGACAGTATAATCTTTATGCTCTTGTTTTTCTTTTTTCTTACAGCTCTTAGGGATAGTCTCCTGTTCTTCAGTATCAGTAAAGTTGAACTTGCTGAACCAGAGTAATGGTATGGAGGGGAATTAAAGACATTAGTTTATTGATGGGAATTGAGAGAGTTTCCCGGGCAGATTTTATTCTCAGTTGGTTAATCTTAAAATAAGATTAAAGTAGAGTTAGGCAATAGCAGTAAAGAATTCCCACTATAATTAAGTGGGTGGAGTTAAAAAAAATAATTATTAAGGCTTGTGTTTTGATTAGTGATGAATCTACCTCTTGTGTAGTAGAGTAGTTGCTGGGCATTCCAGGAAATAAGCAGCTTTTGGAAAGTTCCATTTTTTGAAGTTGACTTTATTTTGCCTTAGAATTTAAAATTAAATAATACTTTAAAAATAATCTATTTATTTAAAAGTCAGTCACATCCTTGTTTTGCTGACAGTGTTTCAGTAGGATGTCTTTGTTTTGGACCTGGTCATCTGTCAGTGTGACCAGCTTGGATGAGTTAGCTGTATATGTATATGTGTTTTATAAACAGTATAGATAATAAAAAATAAGTAAAATATCATTAAAATTCTTCCAGAGAGGTGTCACTATTTATTTGTTTTGGGGGATGTTGGGTAGTTTTTTGGTGGTTCGTTTATGTGCCTCTGCTTATTGTGTTTGTAGGTTTTTTTGGTTTTTATTTTCTCATTTGCAGGTTATCAGGTAACATTTTCTGCTATAATTTATTTTAGTCAAAAGTAGTAGTTTCTTAAAACTTAGCTGTTAGTAATAGCAAGAATAAACATTCAAGAAGTAAGTTACTAACTTTAACTTGTGTAAACCACAGTAAATCTAGCAAGACTGATGAAGAAAATCAAGCCTGTAAGTGTGTGATAGAGAAGCTTGCTTCCTTTAAAGTAAAGTTATTTTGCTCTTCAGTTTCAGCCTCTCTGCATTAATTTCTGCGTGCTCTGATACTCTTTTCTGGACTGTTACATCTCAGATATGTAACCCAGTTTTCCTGATGACCTCTGAAGATTCAGAGACTTGAGTGTTTCTAGGTAGCAGTCTTGCCTCTTGCTTGATCCTTTCCTGGGTGCTGGTGTAAGTTACTTGTGTTTGGGGACTTTGGCTTTTCCTTGAGGAGTTCTCTTGCTGGCTGAAGTATTATGTTTAGGAATTTGGTGTCTCTCTTATCAAAACAGCCAGAATGATGCTGTCTGGGTGGAAAGGTGGTTATGCTGTTGAGGTGTTCGTGGCTTGTCTCATGGCATGGAGTAAGTCTGACTGCTATAAATAATCATCTTTGTTACTATATATAATTAACATATAGCATTAACACACTTTCTCTGATGTATTTGTTGCTGCATTCACTTTAAGGCATGCTCCAGTGTGTGTTCAGCCCTTTTCTTTCTGATGGCTATGAGCTGTGACAGAGATGCAAGGGCTTTTAGCACTGAAGTAGCACCATGTGGCTTCCAGTTCTGTCCTTGCTTCAGTTTTCACCAATTCATGAATAAACACTGTGTGTGGGATCTCACTTTCATGCTAGAAGGAGTATCAAAAACCGTAGAATTTGTGGAAATGTTAGTTTAAGAGGACTGTGACTGTAGACCTTGCAAGTTGTTTAAAGCTCTCAGTGGATTAAATTGAAGAGTAAAAGGCATGACTGCCTTTGGATGCTACAGTGTTTCTGTTCACCAAATGCAATTGTGTTGATATTAAGTACAGAAGGATGCTATTCTTTAAGAAATAAAAAAGCTTGTTCAGAGATAAGAATAATTTTCTGCAGCTTGAAATATTTGAAAATGAAAATAACCCTCGAAGAAGGTTTGTTTTTTGTTTTTTTTCCCCCCAACATTTATGAATGTAATTTATATGATGCATTTTGCAAGTTGAGCAAAATGAAAAATCACACACTATGCAGGGTTATCACTTTCTTTAACACAGCATTAATCCTTTTGCTGTTCCTAATACATTTCCAGTGTAGAAGCAGACTATGATTTATTTATACTGTTCATGCAGTAAAATCTAAGGCATGATGTACTTCCAGGAGAGGAAATGTAAGTATTTCAAAACTCTTTATTTTATGCCTCCTCTTAGCTTAAGAAGATAATTTCCACCAGGTGTAAGATTCTGAGCTGAGTTTCATAGCCTGGCTGTTTGTTGGATTTTACAGAAGTAGTGTGTTGCTGTGACTTCCAGTGTTTGTGTTGGAGTACTTAAGGTTAACTGGATGGTTCTAAGAACTGTAGGCAGAAATACTGCTGTTTTCCACTTGTATTGAAGAAATCTGAGGAAGACCTGAATTCTATGAGGTAAAAATGCCTGCAAAACAAACTTCATTGGGTGGAAGTTTGACACTTGATTTCTTTTGCCCCTATAACTGTTGCCAATAATACTCCTTGCTCAGACTCTCTAAAGTCTGGAAACCTTGTCTTTTGCCAGGATGAGAGGCTCACACACTTAGATATTGATGAAGTGCTTCTATTCAAGATTTATGCCATATTCACAGTGAGAGGAACTCCTTCCCCAGACAATAGGAGTTACTTGGTTTTGAGTGGAGGCTGTAAATCAGTTACCTAGAATTTAAAATCACGATTCTTTTCTAAGAACAACCTGAGGAGCCTAGGTGACTACTGAAGTTGCTTCATCAAAACCTTGATTGGAATAGATTTAGGCACAACATTTACATGTT